CTGAGACAACTACGATGCGGGTGGGAAAACCCACCAAGCAAACAGCAGGCTGGTAGAGGAGCCCCCCACCCTGAGGAGGCTGGGACTTGTGAGAGTAAGAAGGATCGACCCCCCAACGCCGTGCAGCTGCAGCCCCGCCGCCATCCATCCCCACCGCCGCTGCACTCGCTGCGGCCTTTGAAGCCTCTTTTCTTCCCCACCCACGGTGGGCTGGTTCAAATGCAGGTTTCAGCAGGCTGCGGGGCGGTGGGGTCCCCGGCATGGGGCTGCCGCCAGCTGGGCTAATGGGCTCCGCTGGGCACGGCGCCTCGCCCCGTTCCTGGCACGGGCTCGGCGGAAGAGGGAGTTTTGCCCGTTTCAAGGAGTTTCTCAGCGTCTCTCTGCAGGCGTGCCCACGGCTTTTCCAAGCCAGTGTGCGGCTGCGGAGCCGGTCCAGCCCGTCAGACCTACAGTGCGTGGGGAGAGGAGGGAAGGACGCAGCCGAGGACGCTTAGGAACTCGTCCTGGAAACTTGGGCTTCAAGAGACATGGCCAGGGCCACACTTGTTTTGCCCGTTTCAAGGAGTTTCTCAGCGTCTCTCTGCAGGCGTGCCCACGGCTTTTCCAAGCCAGTGTGCGGCTGCGGAGCCGGTCCAGCCCGTCAGACCTACAGTGCGTGGGGAGAGGAGGGAAGGACGCAGCCGAGGACGCTTAGGAACTCGTCCTGGAAACTTGGGCTTCAAGAGACATGGCCAGGGCCACACTTGGGCTCGGTGGCAGAGCCGGGTCCAGCCACCTGCACTGCCCGGGGCAAGAGGGGAGCGGGAAGGGTGCCCAGACATCCTTGCACCACCACCAGCAGGGAAAGCCATTGGGTGTAACAAACAGAGCCTGAAATTATAAGGATCCTGCTTAAGGCTGGTCCTGGCTCTTCCCCACAGCCAGACCACGCAGAGTGACCAGAGCACCCAGGGCTTGGGACAAACCGCCCTCGGGAGCAGCAGCAAAGAGGAGGACGGCATGCTGGGCTTGCCAGCTGGCACAAAGGCACATCCAACATCACTGAAAAATAACCCCCAAACTGCAAAAAGGAGCAATTTCTTCCCCAAACAACTCCAGACTCGCTGCCGATGAGAGGAGGAAAGAGCCCGGCAGGACACGAAGGGAGGGCAGGTGTTTCTGCAGAGGATGGGGACACAGAGTGCCAGTGGCAAAGACTAACAAATCACAGGAGAGATATTAAACCTCACGCTTCGGGGCTTAAGCTGATATAGCTACTAGGGATTAGGAGGAAATTTAAGGGGGAGGGAACGAGTTATCCCTGCTGCAGTCTCATAGCATGCAGAGCAGCATCGTCCCTCTCCTGCCCAGCTAGATGAGTGATAGCATCATCCAAGGGTCACCATCACTTTTGGGCAAACCTTGCTGTGCTTTGTGCTGCCAGAACACGGCAATGAGGGGCACGCACCCAGGTGTGGGGATAAAGCCAAGACCCTCTGCAAGCTTCACTAGCGTTTAACTAAACTTGCTAGGTCACAGCTCAGACACAGCCGAATCCTAGGTGCCCACCCCTGTCTTTGATATATCCAAGGTGTGGAAAGCCCCAGCATCAGTGGTGAAATGGGGCAAGTCACTGGTGAAATGGGGCAAGTGGCTGGCTGAAGCTGGCTGAACCTTCCTGAGGTAGCAGCTGAACCCCAGCCGGGCTTCGCTCCCTGTCCTTGAGAGTTTAACACCAGTTTGCTCAGCTGCCACCCTTTCTTTGCACTTTGCGCATGTTTAAACAAAAACCTTCACCACTCCCTTGAGGAAGGCAAACAGTAAGTCCAGCTCCCGTCACCTTCCATGGCTCCTCCAGGCCCCCAGCTATCGCGAGGGCATCGCATCGCACTGCCTCCAGCATCACCCCAGCATCCCCCATCCTCTGCCCCTTAGCCCCACACATCTAGGGATGGGGACATGCAAACCTCACTGGTTTGCTCCAGGTTTGCTCCATCCAGCTCCAGGAGCTGTCACCCCTTCCCAGGGATGAGAGCCCCAGCCGGGGAGGGGGGAGTGTCTCTGCCTCTTGCCTCCCCCAGGAGCCCCAACCCCTCAGTGCCGTCGCAGACGCCCCGGCCAACTGGCGCATTGTTGGTGAGCGCGGCCAGGCCGGGGGACGTGATTGATCGTTGGGGAGAAAGGCCAGAGCTGTGACGGGTCGTTTAACAATTTCAATTAAACTCTGCAGCGCTCCAACACGGAGGGGAGGGGAAAGGGAGAGAGAAAAGGAAATTAAAAAGCAGGACGTTTCCATTGCTGCGCCGGGGACCCTCAGCAAAGTGTGGCCGGCTCGGCAGGAGCAGCCCTGGTCTCCCAGGGGAGAACACCCACTCTCCGGCTGCAGAAGTGACCACAGCATCATCCCAATATCCCCTTCCTGCAGGCCGGACGCCTGCCCTCGCCTGCCCTTCTCCTCCCGCTACTGCCCCCAAAACTTTCTCCCTGCCCGCCCCACCACCTTTTAATAATAGGTGCTGTGACCCAGTTGTATGGCAGCGCTTGCACGGGAAGGAGGGCTGCACATGGTGAATATTAAACAACATGTCCCTGAAGTTCCCGCTGCCGGGACTGGCGCTTGATTTTTGCTTACGTGCGGTGACTTTTTTAGGCACAGGAAGCCCCGGAGGGCTGATCACAGCGACCGAGCTCCCAATCCACTGAGACAGCAGAAGGACTCTTAGAGGGATTTTAAAAAAATAATAATAATCAGCATCTCAGTCTGTCATATGGAAAAGGCGCTTTAATGAGCGGCAAATGCAGCAAACGCTCAGCTCACATGGCATTGGCAAGAGGAGGGAGAGGGAACCGTAAGGGATGGGAAGCGGCGATGCCCTCCATGCAGGGGACAAGTCTCCAGGACCAGGCATGCCCCCCCACGGCGGGTCCAGCACAGGAGCCCCACTGAGGGCTTGCAGTGGTGGCCTTGCAGCAGTGGCCCTGCAGGAGTCTGGGCTTTTTGCTCCCCCCTCCTTACAAAGGAGTAAAATGAAAATAAGCAGACGGAGCTGCTGACACCGCTGCAGCAGGGGAGTTAAACACAAATGTTCACATGGGTGTCCCATGGCTGGAGGGAGGGGAAAACGTGAGAGAGAAAATGCAGACGGCGTTTAGATAGGAGAGAATTACCAGAGGTAACTGCAGGAACCAAGTGTAAATTCACCCCTCGGGGTGCTCAGGGGAGAGCCAGGGGCACCCCAACCTGCCCACGCTGCCACGCCACAGGACAGCAGCTTGGGGGAAACGTGGCTGTGCCAGCCGCAGGGATGCTCACGTCCTGACGTTATTTATTGCCTTGGGGGTGTCCTTCAACCCGCCCACACACGCAAACCTCTCTCACTCCAGCTCAGGGACCCCACAGGGGCGCAGTCCTTGAGCTGCAAGCAGAGGCAATGGCACTCAGTTCCTTGAAGCAGGGAGGGGGCAGCAGGCACCCCCTGCTCTGAGGAGGAGGTGGCCACCAGTCCTCCTGCAGGACCGGCAGTCAGGATTTGCAAAGTTTTGGCCCCAAACAAAGCTTTCCAGCAGCTGACCCAGGAGAGTTTATCCCCTTCTTACGTTTATAATCCTCAGCCTAAGTCACGTTTCTCAGCACCAGCCTCTCCGCCCTGAGCCACTCCTAAGAAACATTAAAGCTCCTTCTCCTGCCCGAGTTTCCCCTTTCCCTCCCCAGGACAGTATTTTCCCCTCCAGCTTTCCTGCACACACCCACAAGACCCCCCACAATGAGCAGCCCTGGCAGGGAGGTTCCGCATCCCCTAGCCTCCCCCTGCCCAGAGCAGCTCCCACAGCCCAGGCAGCCACCGTGCACCTTCCCCCAGCCACGCACCAAGCCAAGCGCCCTTTTATTTACTTTTCCCAGTTTCCTTTTCTCGGCTGGTCACGAGAAGAGACCAGGAGCTCAGCTCCCTACAAGGGCACTGTGGCACTGGCTGTGATTTGCTCCTCCACCTTTCCACCCTCCTCATCTCCCTCCATATGCTGCGCAGCGCCTGCAGGACCCTGCTGCCCTTGGGGACCCCCCCAAGCCCGACGTTCACGCCAAGCCATGCTTGCCACTGATCTTTCCGAGAACATGTGCAGGAAAACAGCCCTGCTGAAGGGTTAAACATTACCAGACTGAAATTCAAGGCTTGACAATTGGTTCCAGTCGACTGGCTGGGATGATAATTTTTCACAAGATAAACATGGCCAGGAGCAGCAATCGCTAAAGACCCTTTGTAGCACTACCCCCCTCCCCAAGCAGCTTTGCTTCCTCTCGCTGCTGCCGTTTCCCTTCGCCCATCCCCACTCGGTGGCCCATACTTCAGAGCCGCTGGCCCCAAGCCGAGGGGAACCCCAGCCCTGCCAGGAGGATCGCTTACAGCCCAGTCATTCATCCACACAGACTCCCGCCTCCAGCCGCAGTGTAACCCATATGCTGGGGTGCAGGGCCAGCACTCGCACCCCAGCTTGGATGGCACCAAGCACACTACTGAGACTCACACTCCGGGACAGGCAGCGGTGCCTGACAGGGGAGAGGGAGCCCACAGCTCTGCGCCTGGGTACTCACTGCTCTTGGATGCCTTGATCTTGGCCACCAGTTTCTGCACGCTGGGTACATCCCCGTTCTTCACAGCCTGGATTAGTTCCTGCTCTCGCCCCATCATGGGCAGGTGGGAATGGCGGCAGCACGGAAGGCAGAGACCCTCAGATCCCAGCGGTTTATAAAGCCATGGGAATAAGCCACTAATTCCTCAGAACACACTTTGAAGGAAGGTGAAATCCAGCAAGAAAGACGATTTGCAATCTTATGGGACATAAAAATCAGAAGGAAGAAGTCCTGCTGTTAAGGGCAGAAGTCCCTTTCTGTGTCCAGAGGAACAGGACCCAGATGAGGTTTGGTTGGAGAACATGTGATCAATTAAAACAAGAAATAGTTCAATGCTTGGGGACAGGCTCCTGGCAGCACTGGGGCTCCGTGAGACAAAGCCAGGCGGCTCAAAGCAGGCTGGCCAGCGCAGTCGGCATCAGGATGCCCTCCGCCTCTCAGCTGAACCCACACAGTGCTCCTGGAGCTGGAGGTGTCGTGCTTTGCTCCCCTCGCCAGGCTCTGCTGTGCTGATGAGTCCCTAATTCTTCCCAAAGGGATTACGGGCTCGTTGCCATCTGGAAGTTATAGATCCTCCCTCTGTGGTGCTCATTAGCCCCTTCGTTTCGGCATTTCTCTTGGCGACGGTGCTGCAGCCACGCTGGGGAGCCCTGGTGCAGCAGCCCAGGACCTGTGGAGGGGAAGAGCAGAGTCAGCCCTCAAAGGCCATTTACCTCCCGGCTCCGTCGCGACAGCTTTTGTATCTGTGCCGAAGAACAAATACTTTGACTATATTTAGTCCTGGTGGGACTTGGCTCATCCTTATGTTAAATAGAGACAGAAGAACCTGTGGAGGAAGCCTCCTGAGGGTGCTGTTGAGGGGCAGCCAAAAAGCAGGACAGGGGCACAGCTCCTTCTCCATTCCCTCCCTAAAGGCACCACACAAGGCTCAGGGCACCACAGTGTCTCCCCCTCTCCTTTCCCAGTAGCAGCACCCAAGGGATGGAGCTGGGGAAGTACAGCCAAAGTCCTCCACAGCCCACAGGAGTGGGTCAGTCTGCCCAGCACCCTTCCTCTCCTGTGCAAGGATGAACTCTCATCCCCCGAATTACCTGGGAAGCTCAATGCCCTGGCTCCCAAGGCACTTTTTAACCAGTACATGAGCTCTCTCTGGCCCAGGTGAGGAGCTGGGTGTAATTCAGCAGCACAACCAAGCTCAGAAAGGATCAAGCCCATGTCCCAGCCAGCTGGGGTACCCCAGAGAGGGCACAGGGTCCCACAGCAACGTTTCACACCTCCCAGCCTATGCTTTCCCACTGCACCCTAGCTGCCCAAACTGGGTGGCAGGAAAATAAATCCTACCTGGTTTGGGGCCATGCATCTGGGCAGGCTGCTCTGACACCCTGGGAGAAGCGTGTGTGGAGGGGGGCAGGGAGCACACGCTGTGCCAGCTGCAATGCAGCTGCACCCCACAACTCCTTCTCCGTGCCAATCCAGGCCGGATCAGAACCAGCTCCAGCTCCCCCAGCCGTGGCTCAGGCACGTTGTCTCCCTTCCCAGAGCGCTCCCCCCCAGCCATTTATGTAATAGCGGGTGTCGCTTCCTCTGAGCAATCGAGGTCACTGTTTTGAGAATGGAAACCACAGCGGAGAGAAGGCAACAGCGGGAGGATAACTCCGATCTGGGTCGGGGGGCCAAAAGCAGAAGAGGCATCCCATAGCACTGTGTTGCTCAGCCCACGCACAGTAAAGCTGGAAGCTGCAGCTGCCCATGAGCACGGACCCACTATGGGCTCCAGCCCTCCCCCAAGTGCTGTGGGATTCACAGCAGTCGGAGAGGCGACACTCCAGTGCTAGCTGATCTTATGGGACAAGGGGATACTGAGATTCCCACACCAGGCTAGGGGGTTCACCCTACATCGTCGTTCCTGAGGGTCTTATGGTTCATTCAGCTGATCAGCCCCTCAGCACCAGGGCTGCTTGAGGCTTGGTACCTGGGACCAAAGGCAAACCCACTGAGGTCACCTGTGTCCTGGAGCACCTGCACCAGCTTATCTATGTTACAACAAAGTTTCAGCCACTTGACTCGGGCTAACCCCTTGCCGCAAACAAATCCACTCCCAAAATCTCCTGTGTTACACCATCTTCAAAACTGCTTTATTTCATTTAACCCTGTGCACTGTGCCCAACTTTGTGTTGCTCTTCAAAAGTGCTCACAAAAAAGCGAGTGCGAGGGCACTGGGATTATTTACTCATTTATTTAAAAAAGTCCACGTGGCCTCACTTAGAAAACAGCCTACTTCTCTGTAGGAACCTACCTCTCCCGAAGCATGCAAGAGCCAGCAAAGTAACTCAGAAGTACCGAGAGCTCCAAATACTGAGAGGAGAGGAGCAGCAGCAAAGGTAAAACTCAAGGAAAAGTTCTCAAGGAACGAACAAAGCTGGAAAAGCAACAGCAAACATCCCTCCCACCCGAGCAGAGCAGAGCCTCCAGCCCAGGAATCCACCTGGAGAACCAAAGTACCCCAAACATTCCCGCAGCCAACGGCGGCGCCGGGAAAAAGGAGGGAAAGGAGGAAAGAAAAAAAAAACAAAAACAAAAACAAACCAATTAAGTAAGCGGAGAAGGAAAGATGCAAAAGAGAGCAGGCACCGAGACCGGGTCCCGAAGTGGCAAGGGAGGGGTGAGCTCGCCTCCCCCGGGAGGCCGCCGGGAAGCGCCGCGCTGCCCGCATGGGGCGAGGCCGGGAGGGAAGGGGGCGTG